GCCGGGCAACCTGATCAATTACTGTGCGCATCGTATTATTTATATGCGTTTCGAAATGGGCTGCGCTAGCTCGTTCCTCAACCGGGTGGACCCCTCCAGCGTGCGTGGCTGCCTGTGTCTCTGACACTGCCAAGATGTGTCGGTCACACAAATGGCAATTTATCGCCTCCCGTTATGCCTGTCTACTACTGTAAGTCTGTAGCTCCCGTTGCCCAACACTCATCCCCGCCGATGCTGACTTAGTCGGGAAGATGCATATCATTATATTCAACCCACCCATCAATTTTACGGTATATTGCGGCAGCATGCGCAGACTGTTGAGGCTCATCCGACGGGGTTTGCACTCTATGTGGCTTTCCGTTCATATAAGTAGTGGGGTTTAGTGGTGATGCGTTTTGACTCCCTACTTGTAATGTACCTTCTAATGTATGTGAAATATGTGTTAGTGTAGCTCTGGTTGTCCATCTATCTCTAAAATCTCTCTCGCTCCGGGGGGAACGACGGAGCCGGAACAGACGTAGGTCCGTCACAAGTGTGTAAAAACGAAGGAGAGGGGGGAGTAAATACTTAAGTCAACACGAAAACACGGAGAACCTTCGGAGGACCAATGTCGAGGAATCTAAATTAAATCGGTGCCTCCACTTCTCTGATGCTCCCGCAGTGATGTCCCTTTCCATTCTGTGCACCCCTTTTCGCTAATAGTACATGAAATGGACTCCCTGCCCATCCACCGAAGAAACTTGGCGTATTTGTGTGTCTTGCTCCTTTGTGGCCAGGATTGTATCAGTGAACCAATTGGTCTCCGAAAGAACACGACTCGTCCCCGGGGACTGAAAGACTCCTTCTGTTAGTCGATTCCCACCCTTTCCCGTAGACAGAGAGAGCAGGGAAAGATCTAGGGAAGGCGTAGAGGCAACAGGCTGAAGGGGGGGTGGGCAGGAACAATGGCCGTCTTTGCTAACGGCTTTCTCGCAAACAAACTAAATTTTTGCATAGTGCCGCTGCTAGAGAGAAGAGAGAATACTTCTCACCCCTCCTCCTAAGGGGGTCTTTCCCTCTTTGGACTTTCGCTCTAGATATGCTTTACTTCTAGAAACGAGCACCCTTGTGGTCGCACCGATGACTCGGCCGGCACAGCAGAGGGAGTTATGGTGGGGGACGGAAAAAGGTGGGTACTGATGCCCCACTCGCAGTACAAAGAAAGCATCTAAAAGAGGCCAATAAGTGATAGAGCAATAAGGAGACCTGCCGGGCTGATACACACACAAGAAAAAATCAACAGGTGAATGGAAATAACTCGAGGGAAAAGGTACCGAGACGAAACACGGAGAGGCCGGAGAAGAGGCTAAAATAAACAGTTGCGTGAAACAAACAGGAGCAAGAGGAGTTAAGATAGGGCCAACAAGTGATAAAAAAAACAAGATGAGGGAAGGAAAAGGTGATCCTGCCCCCGATCTCGTCGTGAGAATGTCCTCCCTCTCGCGCATCTTTCGCATCATTTCACTCTTTCCCATGAACCCATGAGGAATTTTTTGGCTTGTTTTCCATTTCATTTCATCAAACCAACATGTTACACAACTCAAAACCATTTTTGGCCTGGTTACTTAGCACCTGTAGCTGAGTAGTGTTCTGAAGCTATAACTAAGTCTGCTCTCGGTGAAAAGTCATTTGAAGCTCCTTAACCAGAAGCAACGAAATTTTCTACAAAACTCAGAACAGTATCCCCTGTATATACATATACTACGTAACGTATAATATGTACAGGACACTGATTGGATGAAGTGGTTCTGTGAATGAATGTGTCCCTTCCTGTTCTTGCCACTGTCTCCTCCTGACTTGGTCAGTGATTCAGAAGAAGACGACCGAGGCGGACTCACGTGGCCCTTCACCCCAGTTCCCACCCGCTCCTAGTGCGTGGGAGATGACAATTTAACCCGTTCTCTCTGCCGTCAAACTAATCGCCCCGCATGAACTCCGTCCCGGAATCCCGCTCGGCTTTTTTTCATTCCCCCACCCTGACCAACCCCCAATCCATTGTCTACCCGCATATCAGTCCCACCACCCCCGCCTTTTCTATCCAAAATCTGGGTATGGGAAGCGATGAAAGGGGGGGGCCCTCCCGGTATACCTCAGGTTGGCTCATATAAAACTCGTTACTAGTTCCACGTAAGTTTTGATCGTCATATTCGCCCCTGAGCATTAGCACATTCTCCTGATGTTTATGTGAATTGCAGGTGGTTAGGAGGGGTTGTCGATGAACTGCTAAGAACAAAGCTCATTACGTTCCTAACTGTAGCCTTCCCCACGTGAACACCTCAACCTTTCATTCCTTCCGCGATTAACATGTACCTTCCTTCCCTTTTTGCCTCGTCCTCAGTTCCAATGGCATTTTCCTTCCTTGTTCGCTATTCCTGTGCAAAGATTTGGGGGTGGAGTTGTTGACAAGTATTACTAAACCATCTGAATGTGGTGTTGCTGTGGTATAGTGTCTGTGTGTTCTAAACGAATGGGTGGCCGTGATTCAACTGCTCAGGGACTTGAATTCGCCTTATCATGAATCTCACTATAATAATATCCCTCTGACCTCTGCATTGTTTGTTTTTCCCATCATCAGAAATGGCAGGCAATCGTTTGTGTCAAGCCAATGTGATACTCATCTCTGTATACGTTTGTTAGTGTAACTGCGATTGTTAAGTTGGGATAGCAATAGGGCCAGTGCAAGAATGCAGGTTTCAGTATTCTCACTATATACCACATTTACAAAAAGTGGTTCTGTAGTTTTTTAACACCAAGTATAATGCACGCACACTAGCGCCCGCTTTAATTGTAATTTAACACAAACTGTCAGGAAAGAACAAAACGAATGATTCTGAGAAGCAAAGATGGAGAAGTTGATACAGTTGTGAGAGAGCCAACTCCTGGAGCTCCAGACTAGTTCTGGAGGCAAACACCCACCACCCACACTCCTGCCATCACCACCTAACACTTACTACTATAGTACATATATATGTATTGCATAGATGTTTGTTACATTACACGTATCTGCAAATCTAGCAACAGGTATTGTGAACAATGTCGCCACAAGTATGCTGGTCGCTGCTTGCACGTGGTATATAGACTTGCTGGCTACACTCAGTGGATGCACGTGGACATGTAAAACACAGGTAGAGGGATTGAACCATGGTGCCTACCGAATGTTTCAGTGCTCAGAACAAAGTGCAAAGCAACAACAGAATGAAAATGTTTTTTTACGCAGATTAGACACAGAACTCTTGTCTGCAATGTAAAAGTGCAGATACCTATGGGTTTTATATCAGCTTAAATAAGCATATTAGCACCTAGTATATAACCCCCATACAAATTCTTATGGACTTAAGAAGGTTCTGGGCAAATTTTATGTGTCCGTGGCTGGTTAAGTGATTAAGTGTTAATTCATGTTGCTGATACGTCCTATGTTTGCAACATGGTAGCTAACTTTGATCAGTTGCCGTCCCAATGAAGACATGTTTGTAAAGTTTAATGGGAGCATGTCTAATGTAGCGGCAGAGCTCTGTAATAGCCCCCTTGGCATCGCTGAGACTTAATCAACTTGTGAATGTGAATTACATACAGCAGCGTTCCATCAGATGACCACACACCTAAAATAATTATTATATATACACTAACATTATTGCTGAGTACAAAAACACCTAAAACCAAAAATCCAGTGGAAAAAAGACTGTTTTTCATAGTGCCTCAGGCCCTATGGTAGGTAGGTAGTGGCAATAGCTAACCCTACATTAGTCTTGTTCCTGGCACATACATTGGCACACTGGAAGGAGCAAGGACCTGATGATTGCCAGGGGCCAGTGTCATTATGTGGGGTGAAGAGCTCATGGCCACCTGTTGATGGAGGGGGAGGGTGGAAGGTGTTTGCTGGAGGAGGACAGGGGGCTGAAGGAGAGAGGGAGGGTAGGCAGGTACCAGCTGTGGCTGCTGTTGAACCATAACTCCTGTTGGTTGCTGATGTGCATACAGTGACTGCTGGGGCTGCTGCTGTAGTAAACTGACTGCTGGGGCTGCTGTTGTAGTAATACTGGCTGCTGGGATTGCTGCTGTAGTAACACTGGCTGCTGGGATTGCTGCTGTAGTAATACTGGCTGCTGGGGATGCTGCTGTAGTAATACTGGCTGCTGGGGATGCTGCTGTAGTAATACTGGCTGCTGGGGATGCTGTTGTAGTAATACTGGCTGCTGGGTTGCTGTTGTTGTAGTAATACTGGCTGCTGGGATTGCTGCTGTAGTAATACTGGGTGCTGGGGATGCTGCTGTACATACATGTACACTGGCTGTTGGGGTTGCTGCTGTAGCCATACCTGGCTGTAGCGATGGTTGCACCTGAACTGCTGCCTACAATGGAGTATGAATGATATTATATGATGTTGCGTAATTTTCAATGCCAGCAAAGACACTGTCATTCTGGGGTTCTGAACAAAACTACACTTGACTAGCCTCGGAACCCAAGCCTTCCCTGTTGCATGCGGATCAATTCTTAGCATTTTAGACACTAGTGTGTAACTGTAAAAGTGTGTCCTTTTTTCCTATACTCAAACTTGTATGTGTGTGTTGGCATGCACGGTATATTTGTGTGTGGGCAAAAGCAGCTGATTGCTGGTAATGTGTTACATTTGAGAAAAGGTAAGACTTATGGTCTTCCTCAAAAGCCATACTTTAGCTTGAAAAAATGGGAGATACAAAGGATACCGTGGAATTTCTTAAAAAGGACCCTCCGAATTAGGAACTTCTCTATAAAAGACAATTGGTTCTGACCGCACACTATCTACCACGGACAATGGGACGCACCCTGAATAAAGGACACCCCTAAGTTCCCTTATTCAGAGGTTTCACTAGTATAGCTCAGATAACTGTGGCTGCATGCACGGCCCATGCAGCAACACTCTCATTTAAGATTACCTGAGGAAGAGGTTGTTGTAGTGGGAGAGCAGACATGAGTGGTCTGTGCTGCAGTGGTAGCGAGGAGGGTGAGGGTGTGAGCAGTGAGGTTGTTTGGAGTGATGGTGTGTGGAGTGGGGGTGTGTGAAAGAGAACCCTCCTGGCCGGGGGAGGGGAGAGGAGAGCCGACTGGAGAAGAGCGGCCGAGGCTGGGACACCACCAACTCCTCTACTGAGAGCCTGCAGGGGCTGCAATTAGAAAGACGTATTACAAAGTTTGAGTATAGGAAAAAGGACACACTTTTACAGTTACACACTATAAATGTCTAAAATGCTAAGAATTGATATTTCGTGTTTGGGGCCACACACACTTCATCAGGCACAGAATCCATTATAATATAGCTGTATAATAGACTTCCCCCAAAACCCCATACATTAGTACTAGTGAAGGAGACCTGTGCAGCAGTAGCCAGTTGTTGAGAATGTCCAAGTGCTTGAGCCCCCAGAGCCGGACTGACGGGAGAGAGAGACAGAACGGGGCTAGGTCTGAGTGGGGAAATCCCTGTCGCTGGGGACAGTGATGAATTGAGAGACGTGGCGAGTCGAGGCTGAGTGGACGCTACAATATGATTGGTCAGTGTTGGCACCATCTGATAGGTCAGTTGGTTCGTTGACAGAGATGAATTCAGCCCCAATGCAGGTTGAGTTGCTATTACACAAGAGAATGAAAAATTAATAACAAGGTTTTTGAGTTCAGTATGTGTTATCAAACCAATGTATAGTCTCTTTGTCTCGGAGCCAAGCCTTTCCGATAAAATGCATGTGCTAGTTTCAAACATGTGATACTTGCAAGCACATGTGACTTCTGTATGTAAGAGTTATCTTTCTCGCCCTTTTGAATGTCTATGTAGCTCAACATTTAAAAAAAATGCACCTTCACTAGCTTATAAAAATTAATGGTCTTGAATTGGGGAACACTTTTGAGGGAGACAATTTTCGCATTTTATAGCAAGAAAACCTTCGTTTATTGTTAGAGTAGTGCCTGAATACAAGTGTTTCTACCAGCAGTTTTGGAAAAAAGGCTTTTGCAGCCAGCTAATCTGAACATGTGCAAATGTTCTCCTCCAAGATGTTCCGACTTAACAGTAAGACGTTCACATGTTGCCCACACACATTGATCCGCACAGTTACGCAATGCTTCCCATTCCATTCCAAGTCAGACTAATGAATAGGGTTCACCCCCCAGATGAAACTCCTTGACCTACTGCTCAGAGTAAACACGGGCATTCCAGTAGTTATAAAATCATTGTCAGACATGCAGAGTTGCAGAAGCGAGAGTGGAATCATTGGGCGCCCATCCCAGGCAGTGGCTACATTCATTGAGTGGTTTATAGCAGCGATCAGTGAGGCTCAGATGGGCCTCAGCTGCTGGCTAAGGATATAGCTCTATACGCAGGGCTATCCGTTTTCCGACATTTGTCTCTTTCTGTCAATAGCTGTTGCACAATGATTTCTCATTATTAACGTTCAAAAGCAACAGGAAATAGCTATAATAGTGGAGCTAATACCTGAAAATGTGGCATCTAACTTTTGCAGCTAGAATTATTATAATTATATATATACCAGCAATTGTTGGTCCGGTAACTGCATTGGAAGGTAAGACGCCTGAAGATAAACATGTCACATTTCCTCCGCCGGTTCCTAGAAGTGATTGCGGTGCACTACTCATCTCTCTCCAGCAGTGCAGGGTGGGAGGGGCTCGTCAAACTGGAGAGTTTTTGCAACGTGCCGTTGGTATTCACCGTTTGTCAATGGGCTTTCGGCTCTCAAACTTACCTTGGTCTTAGTCTATGCGCAGCCCGCTTTGTGCTCCGAAGACGACTCCGTCACTGTCAGACTGTCACATGTATACACCGCGGGGTCGCCCGCGCGCGGAACGTGACGCACGCACTTACGTACACGCTACTTACGTAACTTAAACACGCGCGCCCTCAGAGGGCGGAGCTAGTAGGGTGCCCAGACAAGATGGTGTCTACACTTGTATCAGCGACGTGGCTCAGGCAACAGGTGGTTAATGGACTGAAGAACATCAGAATACTGGACGGTGAGTGAGAGATGCTACACACTCGATGATGTAAGCTGTCACTTGTGTTCAGCCTCGTGGACCATGTCGGGAGAGGGGAGGGCGGCCTTCCTGGGTGAGAGATTGGCAGAGCCCAGCACTTTGACATTGACGAGGTGTCAGAGCAGAGTTCTCCCTATCCTCACATGATCCCTTCCCCTCACCGCTTCCAGACCCTCGTGGCCAAGGTCAGGGGCCACTCTCTCATGGAACACTGCTCTCACATTGCATTGTGTAATGGACACATGGATTTCTGTCTTATAGCACAGAGTATTTGAGGTGCCTTTTATTTTATGAGCCATGCCTGCTGGTTTATTGCATACTATATAGCTCGGTGGGTAGAGCACTCAGTTTCAAAAGCGGAGTTAGTCTCACAAACCAGACCCTTTTTCCTTGTATGACAGGTTGGCTTGGGAGATTAATAAGATTATCGTTGGTTTGAGGGCAGTTTTTTCTCTTCCTTGTCCTGAATGCATTTGCCTTGCGCTGACACCCACTGGTAATGAGAGCTAATGCAGACGTTGCTATCTACTATTCCATGTGTCCAGATGGGAGTGGGTAATGGAGATCATGTGGTGGTGTATGATGGACACAGTGAGGGACTGATGGCCTCTGCTAGAGTCTGGTGGATGTTCAGAGTCAGTTCAGCTTCTATGTAACGTCCTTTGCAACATGTTGCTTGAAATTTGAAGTGTTGTCTATTGCGCGCGACCCATCATGCACACATACATTGATGGATCATGCACTGCGTACAAACAAGAGCTAAGGTAGACGAGACTAGAAAAGTGGCAGAATAAAGCAGCAAACGATGCAAGTAGTGTATGTTCATGGTGTTTGTGCACATTGAGATTACTTACTCTAAGCTGTCTTCACGATCTCTGCTACTATTTCTTTGGGCGCCATAGGTGTCTACTTAAATACGCAGAAATTGATGTATGACATATTAGCGCCTAGTATTATAGCCATTATATAAATTCTTATGCACTTATGGAGGCTCTGTGTATATAAAATGGCGCCCAAAGGGTTTTAAGAAAGCCCAAATTTATATTAAGTAGCTGTTATATTTTGTTCTGCCCACAGTTGTTTGGTCACGAGAGAGTGTCGGTGCTGGATGGGGAGTCTGAGGAGATGGAAATTTCACTGCATCTTTCAACCCTCACTTGCTCAGGAATTATGAGCAGATGTTGGATAACCACACATCTCGTCACGAACAGGTCACTTCTGTTGGACTGCGATAATCACAGCAAATTCATTTCCCTGCCCTCTGACTAATAAACTGTAACCACAAAAGAGAACCCTCTTAAAGGACACTTGGTTCTGGCTAATAGAGATAAAATAGTGCATTAGGTAGCTACCCTGCGATGCCTCTGAATGATGGACACATTTCACTGAAATTTTGGCCAATGTTATGATAGTCTATTGGAAATCTTTCTTTTGGGTATAGCAGTTTGATGTGTGTAAGTTGATCCAATACTCTTTCAGTGGTACACTCTGTGGTGCACTTTGGTCTCAGGTTGTAGATGCACGTAGCAGTGCCAGGTTCAAAGGTGAGGTCCCGGAGCCCCGCCCCTCTCTGTCCAGTGGAGGAATGAAGGGAGCAGTCAACCTCCACTACAGCAGACTACTGGATGCTCAGTGGGGTACTGTCAAGACCAGGAGCCTTCTGGCCTCAGGTCTCTACTGTACATTGACACATTCTCATAATCTCCACAAATTGTGCTAGAAAGCCTGAATACCTTCGTTCTGTTAAACGATTTGTCAGCATATAGTCATGCTAGCTACCTACAGTGGAACTTGTTATAATGGACCCTCCGTAAAGCAAAGAAGAGCATATATAGCATTGGTAAACGAAACCTCTGAAAAGTTGGTGTCCCATGTCTTCGAGTAGATTTTTTAGATCTGTAAAGTACAGTGTCCATTAAAAATTTTAGGAACTTTGGTTGCAAGTCTAGGATAGCTATTTCTCTTTCTTAGGTAAAATGCCAAGTACCCTGTACTAACATTAAAAAGCAGAATGCCTGGTATGGCTTGCAAGACTACAAATGCCACAGTTGTTGATATCAATGTAGGCAAAAAATAGTAGCCCCCTTTCCCTCTCTCTCTGTCTCTCTCTAGAGTTCCAGAGGTCAGGAGTGGACTTAACCCAGCCAGTGGTTGCCACATGTGGTAGTGGTGTCACTGCAGCTATCATTGCTCTAGCTGCACACTCTCTCAACACCACCATCCCTCTCTATGATGTAAGATACCATTGTATCTCTGTATGATGTAACATAGTACACTACCATCATTTCTCTGTATGATGTTATCGCAGACAAATAGTAGGGGTAGGGGTTTGTAGTACTATTCTAAAGGCCAAAATAAAGGCCAAGTAAATCGCACACAAAAATAGGAGACCTTCCTTTGTAATAGAAAGGTCACACGCGCAACTTTTTCTGCAACTATCATCATCCAAGAGATCAGAAAGATGAGTTTAAGGGTAATGCATTATTGCATTATTAAAGCATTTTAGTATCATGCTAACTAGAGCTACAGCAAAAGGGTAGAGCTAGGAAAGAATATATTATACTTCCATCATTCGTAGGAAGTCTAGCTTCGTGCGCAGTCAGTAGAGCGCGCGCACGAGCGGCCTCAGTCGGACTGTTTACGCATTGGCTGGCAGGCGTGAGGCAAAATATGCGCGTGCGCATTCCTAGTAATCATTGATAGGGGAGTGCAGTATATCAAGCTTTGCTGGTGTAGGTTATGTAAAACGCCCAAAACACTTCTCATGCTATGTCACCTTACGAAATACTGAGACCATCACCAACAATAGTATTGTTGTTGTTGTTGATGTTGTTGATGTTGTTGTTGTAGGGGTCATGGAGTGAGTGGAGACAGAGAGCTCCTCTCCAGACAGTGACAACTGGAGTTACTCAACTATCACACAACACTCCATCCTAGTTACTAGTTACAATGTACCATCCTCCTTACATTATGCTTGTCACTGTAACGATAAGTCACTACAATTTTGACAAGTTGTACAATGATTCACCAGTCACCATCAAAATTGATAATTCTTTGTGCCATGAATATTGCAGTGTGTGAAGCGAGAGGTGTACCTTCATCATGTCTTGACCTAACACCAGATCTAAGGTGTTTCCTTTCCAATGTACCATTACAGTTTTACTATCGACTGCCCCAGTCTCAATAACACTCGCTATGCATGGCTGTTCTGATTAAGAGGATCAATAGCATTGTGTCAGTATAAGTATAGTCCAGGTGTATTGCTATATACTATTAGCATGGGCAGGTTGTCGCTGTTCGATGAAGTAGCTAATAATCTGTGCTTACAAACAGAAGATAAGTAAAGTACAGTAATGTGTGTCGAGAAAGTCACGTAAAAAGGTATTGTGCACTAACGTAGTTGTAACTGTGGCTGTAGTCTAGTCTTTTCACTTTGGCTGGTGTTGCAGTAGATGCTGTACCACATCATTGTGGTTGTTGGCTCTGGCCTTGCTCAGAGCAGTGTTTCCAAACTGTAGAGAGAGACATTCATCAGACAATGAAGAGAGAGAGAAGATAGCCAACTATACTACAGAGACAGGCAGAGAGAGAATTCCATCAGGACAGACAGTAGGACACTCTTTTCTCTACATGTTTAGAGTTGGTTTACCTTATTAGGAATGTCTCTGGCCCCAGCTCCTAGCAGTAGTTTCACCACCTCTGAGTGACCTTTCCATCCTGCATAGAGCAAGGCTGTGCTTCCCTCCTGTGTGGAGAAGAAGTCGATGAGCAGCAAAATAGACAATGCATACCCATTACTTCAAGGAGACACTTATATCCATGAGATAATCAACATTATTAAGCGTGCACTTCTACTGCGTACACCTGAGCTGTCATCATCACCGAGAGAGAGTGGAAAGACACGAAGGAGAGAGAAGAAAGATAGGTGTGTATGTATATACTGTAAGTGTAGACAACCAAAACACACACCTTGTTCTGGTGGTTGACGTTGGCTCCTGCCTCCAACAGCCTCTGAACTGTCTCAGTGTGTCCTTGATAAGCAGCTACCCCCAGAGGAACACCACCATTCTGATGAGAGAGAAGGTCACCCATCACAGACAGTACCAGGGAAATACAACTGTTACTCAATCCCAATGTACCCGAGAGCAGGATAAATGCATTGGTAAGCAGGACAGCGAGACGAAGAGACGATTA